AGCGAATTGATAGTAAACGAAGGATATGATATTTTAGTGGGTCAATATTTCACCTTACTGATAATTCATGCCAGATATATATAAAAAAACAAAACACAGAAAACAGAAAACACATCAATTTTTTGGACTATCTTACTGTTTTCTTTAGAGCAGAAAGTTATCGAAATTCAAGGGCGGATCCAGCGGGGGCCAAGGGGGCTCGTGCCACCCCCTCCGTCAGTCAAGCCAAAAAATAAAAAAGAGTGAGAAAATTGGAGTTAAAAAGAGGAAAAAGGGAAAAAAAGGAGTGTACCCATGAGTTCAGTGACGATCCAACATTGGGATGAAAGGAAAGCTCGATTATTTGCCACTTATTTACACCAACCATGGTGGGGCTGAAGTGGGCGTGGCGGCGAGAACTTCATATGTGCCCCCACCCCGTCATAAATTCTCTGGATCCGCCCCTGGCATTGATTTGACAACTACATTGACTTTACTTATCACATTTCTACAACTTGTAACATTTACCAAGCGTGAGCTTCTTACATCTGTTCTTAGAAAACTGCATTGGATTTAGTCAATAAACGCCTATCTTTAAAAATATTTTTGATAACTTATAAGGCAATCGATGGTTTTGCCACTAATTACATTTTAGATCTCCTTCAACCGAAATCTACTCCTCGCATTCTCAGATCTTCAAACAAGCACCTTCTTGAGTAATACAGGACAACATAAGCACCTTGGAAATCGTTCATTCACATATGCCGCCCGAACATTATGAATGACCTACCTCTTGACATCAGAAAGCTCATCTTCTCTTAATATCTTTAAAAAAAATGGTTAAAGTTGTACCTTTACACCATCTCCCACTATTGTTATTATTATACAAATATATCTTGAGCTGAGAAAGGACAGAGATGTGACCGAAATGTTCTATGGTTTTACTATTATTATTATTATTATTATTATTATTATTATTATTATTAGTATTAGTATTAGTATTATTAAATAAATATTACGTCAACACAGTTGATTATTTTTAAATTTTAAAATCTTCCTATATACGCATACGTGAAAACTTTAATTCACAAGAGTGATCTCATTTAATTGCATTTTGAGAAAGGCCTACTTCATCGCACCACAGAACATTGCACTCTGCCTTGAATATTGGCGCATATAAAAGCATAGTTGATTGACTGAGTGGTTCGTAGTACATTGTGCAAGCCATATAATATCTATTAATTAAAAAAATATTTGTATTTACTGCCACTTATTAAACATCTATATAGTAATAATCGTAACAAACAACTAATAATTTTAGTGGGTAAGAGAGAGTCTAATGATCTAATCTATGCAGTTCATCGCGTTCACTGCAAGGTTTGGAATGGACATAGAAAGTTGAAAAACATGACGGTAGAATCGTAAATTGGTCCTCTCTATTATAATTGAACTCTCTCTTATCCCCCTAACACACAGTTGTGTGATTTTCAGCCTTCAATCAGTTTTCAGTACAAGATAACATATATACTCAAAACGACAACTGCAGACCCAAGAAAATACAGCATTTTAAACTTTTTTTTCTTGTGACAGTAGCCAAAGAGTATTCTCATTTTTGTGTTTGTAAACCGAAAACTGTAAGCTAAATATTATGAAAATAGATAACTGAAGCTATGTTCCCAAAGTAGAATTTTTGGACAATATCTATATTTAGTCTCTCATTTAAATCAGTTACAATTTGGGTTAAGTTTTTAATATGATAAGATGAAAGAAATGATCCGGTTGCAAACTTAAACGGTTTGGAGATCTAAATGGATGATTCTGTAATTAGCCTCCACGAAGGAGCGAACCTCCGGGGAGGCTATTGCATTTAGCCATCTTCTTTTTCATGTTGTTGTCGTTGTCGGGCAAATTGTTTGTTACCACCATAACTAAGGTTTGGTAAGTCCGTTTAGTTTCAAACTTGGCAGAATGCAAGATGCTAATAAGAAGACGGAGCCCATGTGAATAATTATGTTAATTGCTCATTTGCATAATTATTATGTCACTAATCAGGAGATTTACAATAAATACCATCATAATTCCCATAAAAGATTTCCTACTTAGCTGAAATTGTAATATGTCATGCCTTTCAATTTAAAAAAAACAGTGATTCGACTTGCAGTTGAAACAAAAAAATTCCTTAATTTTTTTAATTAATGAACTTTTAATAAAATTGGATTTAACGCAATTTGCATTGCTGAAAGCATTTCAAACTAGTCGCAACAACGGCCGACGCAATTGGTTGTGCTGAGCACTCAGAACTCAACCAATGCCAGCGAGTTTTTTTTTTTCTTCTACAGGTCACAGTACAGTGCGACAGGGCAAGTACTAGGCCTACTTTCCAAAGTATACGATTTGTTAGTAAATAATACTTTGCCAGCCTAAATATATAAATCAATATATGACTTTAAATCTGATGATTTCCTACCGTAACCTGTATCCTAGGCCTCATTGTAGACATACGATCTATGCTAACTCATACTTATAACAACTTGTAATCATTCCAACTCGCACCCACTTTGGTACACCCGTACCCAAATTTAGATACTCGTGCCCAACATTGGATAACTCATACCCATTTGTATACGTACTTTTACTTTAGCGTAATAGAACGAAATTTAATATTGAATACATCGTACTATATACTATACTACAAAATTTAAAAATTTAAAATTCAAGAAATACAAATACAAAATGTTAATTAAAATAATTACACTTAAAACCCCTCAATAGTACAGGATTTGTAAACTAGATGGCATAATAGTCAACAATACGTTTTTTTAACTAGTCACTGTTAAAAACTTTATAGCACATATTTTACATAAGATTGCATAACAATCAACAACATTTTCATTTACAAACGAACAATAACATAAGGTGATAAAATGTATGGTGGACTATTTTGGCTTTACAGGTTGCTAAACGTGTTAGGTCTACCACGTGTTTCAATATCGAACATGATTTTAAAGTATTGGAACCAAACGTTGGGAAGAATCTCACAAGTGACTGACAAATAAGGCCCTGAGTGCGGACTCCCATTTACTGACGGAAACACATTAAATTGCGATTTCTATAAGCATTATTAGCTTTAAAATGTTTGTTTCATTTATAGTATCACGGCGCTTTTGAAAACAGCAAAAGCACCTGTCAGGAAAATGGTCTTGGGGCAAAATCGGTTTGCCAGACCGATTACGAATATAAAATTACCTGCCAAATGTAGTCCACATCATCAGAAAGTCAAAAACTCCATCGTAGATTCTTACCGCTTTTACCTCCGCCAAAGAGGTTATGTATTCACCGCTGTCTGATAGCAAGATTACGCAAAAATTAAAGAATAGATCATCATACAATTTAATGGAATGATACGTAATCATCTAATAAAGAGGAGATTAAATTTTGGTAAGAAAAGGTCAAGGACAAATTCAACGTAACTGAAATTCCAATTTTTAAAAAACTTCCTTCGAGCATAAAAAATAATGAAATTACCCCCAACCGACCTGCGTATTGTTCGGTATTCAGGAACAGGGCGGAGGTATGCACTCCATGGAGATGATAGATAAATGTTTTCTCTCTCATTAAATATGTTTTCATTCGTTAAGTTTGCATTTGATTCCTTGCGGCTGCCGACAGCGGACAGTAGCACTTTGAAACGCTAAAATGGCAACTTTTAGACATACTGTGAATGAACGAATAAGAGCCGCGGCGCTTGTACAATTTTGGGAGGCTTCAGTGCGGCGGTTATTCGAGAGCGGTGCTTATTAAGAAAATATTGGGAGACAATCCCCATTGTTGCTAATGTTAATTCTATGTCAGTTGATCATATATATATATTAAACTAAGCGGATTTAATCCTTCTGTATATAATATAAAACTGAGTGCTGAATAGGCAAATATATGACATTAAAACAGGAGTTACGGTGAAGATTTGCCTCAAAACTTATTTGAAAATAACAGGTAAAGAGTACATTGTGGGTGGATTTGGAGAAAATTGGAGAACATCAAGTGGACGGAAAAAGTTAATAATGAGAACGTATTAAGAAGAGTATGATGAACTACACTACAGATAGCTAATACTATCAAGAAACGAAAGAAGCGATGGATCGGTCACATATTACGACACGAAGGTCTTATGAAAGAAGAATTGAAGGGAAACGACCAAGAGGAAGGAGGAGAAAGATGACGTTTGACATTAGGGAAAGAAGAGTCATCACCAGTTGAAGAGGGATGCAGAGAACCGGGGAGTACTGGAGAATGTTAAGAGAGACCCGCCTTCGCAGATCACTAACGACGATGATAGTAAAAATCATCGTCATGTACTCTGGCTGTACAGCACTTTTTCGTTAAGATTTAGGTCTACTGTATGCTGTTTTCAATAATTTTCAGGCATCTCCTTGACACTTGAAATTAAACTGTCGAATAGAGGAGGGACCAAACCCCCTTAAACATATGGGAGGGGGATATCCCCATGATTTGCGCAAATGGTGCGCATAGATTAAAGCCTTAAAGCCTTTAATAAAAGCTTCAGCTAAAATATAATCACATTTTTATATTTTCTTACTATACATTATATGCCTATTCATTAGCTGGATAAACATAGGCTTATACTGACAAATATTACAAATTAACAAATATTGAACCGTTATGGACTTCTTCAATTTGTTTACATACAAATGGTAATATGTAATATATAAAATGTAATATATACATAATTTGAAAAAAAAAACATACATTTATTTCGGTGTATGTTTTAGACCTGTCTCTTATACACATCTAATAAATATAATATAAATCATCAAAGGTACCGGTACATATACAGTGTTTAATAAGGACATGATGGAACATCGTAGGCTACCCTGTAGCCTGTCTCTTATACACATCTAGATGTGTATAAGAGACAGATATATATATATATATATATATTAAACAGTAAAATATAATAGTACTGTAGCAGTAAAATGAACATAAAATTGTAGCTTAATCAAGTATCATAATTAAAAATATATTAGCATTAAATGAAACATTTTGTCCAGCACAAGTTTGTAAACTATTTTTTGCTATGTTTTTTCTGTAGTATCTTGTCCGTGGCATACAGTGACAGCCGTGACGGCAATATCTTCTTTACTATGATTATTGGAGAAGTGTACGGTTATAGGAAGTCGGGGTTGGTTGAGTCTTACGAAGCATTGTGTTAGGTGAATCTCTCTGCAGTCTACGTTTCGCCATTATATTATAAGATAGCATTTAGTGCATAAATGAAATTAGTAAAAGTGCAAGAAAAATGTCCATTGATCCTGTAAGTACCAGAGGGTCCTGTGATAGAAGTAATGGAGGTGATGTGTTTGCACGTATTGTGTCGAAGTTTATTGCAGGCGACTGTAGATCCAGTGGAATATTCCGTTTAGTGTCTATTTGGTCCCTTCTGTAAGCCAATATTGGCGGAGAATTGAATATTTCTTTTGTAGAGTTATCACTCGTCAGAATATGAAAATTACTTTTTTTGATGCTATTAACTTTTTTTTTAGCAACTAGAGGATATGCTAGTACAAGTGGTGTCCGGTTTAATTTTGTATTGGTAGCGTCTTTCAAAGTGTCTTTTTGCGACAGTTTATGAACCTCATGAGGGCGCTGTTTGTAATGTGGTCCGGTTATCCTCTGTTGTGGAAAAATGATGACATTTTTAGTAGCTTGATTTTCAAAATAATCAATATTGTCGGAACAGATGCGTCTGATTCTTACCATTTGTGAATATGGAATAGAAGTTGGATGAGCTGAAATATATATTTAAAATGTATGAGCTTCCGTTGATAAATAAGAACATTAATTGTGAGTTTTATACAGTATCCAGGAACGATAGGCTGTCAGAGGTGAAATATCGTGACTACAAAACGTTATAGCAGGATGTAAGTGATTAGCGAATGTAATAAATTCTTCAAATTCTTCGAGTGTACCGGAAGAGGCTCATATATAGTCGTCAATATAACGTTTGAAAATAATAAGTTGTTTCTTACCAGTGAATTTTATAAACAACTAGTCTTCCAAATAGCCAACATGAAGAGACACGCAAAACTCTGTCCGTATGCGAGTACACGTACTTATTCCATAAACCTGCCAAAAAAGTGTTCTTAAATGAAAACGGGTTAGTATTAATTCAGCTAAGTCGGATTAATAGGGGCCTAGTGTGATAAACAAATATGTAAATGATTGAAACAGTGCTCAAATTTAGGAACAAATGATGTAAAAAAAATTTCCCCGGCGGGATTTCAACCTTCGACTTCTCAATGACAAGAGTAGCGCCTAACATCTAGACCCGAAGACCTATCGATATTGTCACCGATTCACTTCAACACACAACTATCATGCCCCCTCACGAAGTGATGGGCTGTGGTAAGACCAGTGAGAACTCTGGGTAGTCGAAGCTTAAATTGTAGTAAACAATATTTTTCAATCATTGTGTGCTGCGTAGCACTGAACATAAATATAAATATAGACAAATAAGTAAATGATAGGAACAGTGCTCAGCTTTTAGGAACAAATGACGTTATAATCTATCAGGCATAGCCCTTTAACGAAAGGTTTAACAGTTTTGTGAAAAAAATTTCTTCGTCGGGATTCAAATCTGCAACCTTTTGCTAACAAGGCAAGCGTCATAGCTCTAGACCATCAAGACCTATGGGTATTGTCACAAATTCCATCAAGGCAGATACACCTCAACGCACAAACTGACATACGCCCATCAGAAAGTGGGGTTGTATATAACAAAAATAATGATGCAAAACGAACATTTCGTCTTGTCTTCAAGACCCACCGACGAAGGCTGATTTTTTTTTTCTTTCTCTGTCAGATTTCTCTTCTGTTACGTTTTATATAGGCCTATCTAAACTTTATTTCAAAAAAGGGTACAATAATTATAGCATACAATTTTGTTAGTCTTGTGACTAGTTACGTTGCATTTATCAGGAGGACATACGTACAATAGATTTTCCCATGACACGTTTACCTTTCAATTTACATTATTAATTGCATTATTCCGCTTGTTGTTTCCCCATGCATTAAAATCCCCTTATATTTACACAAGTATATCATCCGAGATCCAGCAAGCTGAAAATAATGCACAAAAAACAGTGTATCTTTGGCAGTCTAGTCGCATGCGATACAAGTGTTTTATCGCTTGGATCACCTCAACGCTTTCGTGGTCAAGTGGTTATGACGTTCGAAACTTATGCAAAAGGTTGCAGTCCCGACGGAGGCCTGTCTCTTATACACATCTAGATGTGTATAAGAGACAGACATCTATCATCTTCCTCATCTGGTACCTTTACAAAAGAAACAAAGAGGATCACTCTCAGCAGTCATCGAGTGGTTCAAACACATCGAAAAGAAATCAAACAGCACATTTATCACATTCGACATCGTCGAATTCTACCCATCAATATCGAAAAAGCTACTACTAGATGCAATTCAACACGCCCAAAAATACACAACTATAACAGAGGAAGAAGTAGATATCATCATGCCGTCACGAAACTCAATATTGTTCTCCAACAACTCAACGTGGGCCAAGAAAAATTCAGACGGTATGTTCGACGTCACCATGGGGAGTTTTGACGGAGCAGAGATATGTAAACTCGTTGGAACTTTCCCACCTCGCCAAAAAGCTCGGAAAAACAAACATCGGGCTCTACCGAGACGATGGCCTCGCCATCATGTGCAGCACATCTCCAAGTCTATGTGACAAGATGAAGAAAGAAATCACATCCATCTTTCACTCCTTCGACCTCCGCATTACTATACAAGCAAACATAAAGATCACAAACTTCCTTGATGTCACATTCAACCTGACTAACGGATCCTATGCTCCGTTCACCAAACCAGACAACAAATTGCTATACGTGGATAAACGATCAAACTACCCTTCATCCATCTTAAAGCAAATCCCCTCTTCAATCAATAAAAGAATATCAAGCAACTCCGATTCAGAAGCAACTTTTCAAAAGGCCGCCTCCGACTACCAAAAAGCACTAAGGGACAGCGGATTTCAACACACGCTGAATTACGAAAAACCACCTACAAACAACTCAAAAGCCAAAAGAAAAAGGAACATCATATGGTACAACCCACCTTTCAGCAAAAACGTCAAAACAAACATCGGCAGAACTTTCCTTAACCTGGTCAAAAAGCACTTCCCCAAAGACAGCACTTTGCACAAATTGTTCAACAAAAACAACGCAAAAGATAGCTACAGTTGCACAAGAAACATGGGCAGCGTCATCAAAACCCACAACAACCACCTTCTCCACACCAAACAACAAGTACCGACCAAACTATGCAACTGTCGGATTAAAGAAGATTGCCCACTCTCGGGAAACTGCCTGACCTCCTCAATTATTTATAAAGCTACAATCACAACAAACGAAGAATTGAAGCATTACATCGGGCTCACAGATACCGCATTTAAAACCCGATATACAAATCATAAGCACACATTCAATGCACCAAAACACAGAAACAGCACAGAACTTTAAAAGTTCATATGGAAACTAAAGACAGCAAAACACAATACAATATCAAATGGTCCATTATTGATAGAGCCTCATCTATCTATACTCACACAAAACAAAGCGATGCAATCTATGCAACGCAGAAAAGTTTAATATAATTTATGCAGACAAACAATCTACTTTGCAGACACCGTGCCAAATTCCTACTCAAAAACACATAATACCTAATTTGCATCTACACCGGCCCAACTCTACATATACACGTCAAATTTGAAATTCCCTTCTTTCCTGAAGATTGCCTAGTGCATGAAACAGCCTGTAGAGTCAAATTACAAGTTCCCTGTTACAAGTATTATACTATTATTAGTATTATTATTATACCGCTCTGCATAGCATCGAGCACTATACGTTGCCTGAACTGACAACTTTATATTCATTTATATATATTTATATATATTATATATATACATATATTAATCAATTACGATATATAGGCCTAAGCCTATTATCATATTTTCTCAATCATGACAACTTCCTGTGTGAAAATTATAATTATATTGTTTAATAAGTGGTTAGGTGACATTAATAACGTCATGTTGACCGTTGATTTGTAAGTGGAATGATATCATTAGATTTCATAAATAGCAAATATTTACTACCGGTAATGATTGCCACCTGTTTTTCACACATCAACGCGCCATATTGTATATCGTGTAATTATTAGCGTGTCATAGTTTTGAACGAAATGGTGCCAACTCTTATGTCATTCGTCATTCAAACATTGATAATATAATAAAATGGTATTTTACGCAGACCAATGCCGTGTCCTAATATCGATAAAATATATCGAATAGAACCCGCAAAGACCCACGCACAGCTTCACAAAATCTACACCAATCCATGCAAACCCACGCAAATACACGTACTCACGTAATACAAAATCGCGTCAATGAAAGTATATAACGAATTTAAAGTAGTTAAAAAATTTCAAAGTTAAGGTGAAAAAATCATTTGACACGAAATACTTCGAAGATGCTATAATAATAAGGAAGGCATATGCAGTACTCGACAAACCGTATACCGTGTGCTAGCTGGAGCAAAATAAAACTTCAAATTCATTGCAATAAGAATTTAGAGAGATAGAATTTGCGTTCTTATGAGATTTGAAATAAGATTCAAATGGCACGCAGTCGAGATTTACTACATTGAGAATTATATTGAAATCGGAAGATACATGAGGTAAGTTTTATAATTGGATATGAATGCGATTGACCTAGATACGCGTCAAGCGCAATAAGATAATTTGTAGACAAATACATCAGTAAACACCTACACCATAACTTAACCCTTTTCTTATTCCCATACCTTGTTCATTGCAGACATTTCCAATTTTAATTTGCTAATTGTTAGTAGGCCTATATGAATAATTGTACCATACAACATAACTACCAATTTGTTGAGTAAAGTAAGTACAATAACAGGAACATAGATGTTTTTTTTTTGCGTCAGAAAATGTAATAG